AATAGTTCCAAACTTTCTAGAAGAAAAAAAATTCATTAAGGAGATTCACAGCCTTGTATATCAATCAGTCCACTCTATTTTGTGGGCAAGCATCAGTTTACCCCAAATATTGCACCAAAACTATTTCACTCATTAAATGAATAAGGCATTTTGCTGAAAGTTTTTGAAAAGGAAACCAAGCCAAACAGAAACCTATATAGGATGAGAAGAAAAAGAAAAAAATGAACTAGATAGTGATGATTTCTCACGGAATATGCAAAGCAGCCCCATGGCGAGACAACACTGAGACGACTGGATCATAACCATCTCTGAGAGCAGTGTTGTAGTAACCAGCAGTAAGTTCAGCAGGATGTGATACAGTCTGGTACCACCAATAAATTCCACCAATTTTAGCCACCAACATAACAGAAGTTTGCTCATTTTCTTGGTATTTTTTCAGTATCTTTGCTGCCTTTGCAAGAATGGCATCTGCATGGCAAATCAGCCTACCACTGTACCATTCCTGCAAAAGATCATTCCAAAGTCTGGTTTGTAAATTCTGACCAAGTTTGTTTCCATAATCATGTTTAATGGGAGGCAAGGCTTTGCACATTGGATTTCTGAAAGAATAATGTTATTAGAAAAACACAATTTCCTCAATAAATACATACTTATGAGTATATGACTACGAGAAACCATGATGTCAAGCATTATGTGATAATTTCTGAAATAATTTGATAGCTCTTGATAAGGAAACAACTCCAACCAGAAGGATCTCTACCCCATATATTACCATTTTAGTAGATGAGTAACTGTAGAAAACAGAGTAAGTCTCTGTTATTTCATTCTTATATTTTTCAGTAGGACATATTACATCTTTATATACAAATTATGTCTCTAAACTAGGAAACTCTAAGTTAGGAAAGATACTAATCCTAGGAGATGTAATCCCTTGAAATAAGGGATTGAAAAACAGAAAGAATAATTACAGAATCTCTTAACTTAGGGATGGAACAGCTCATTTCTATAATTCCTACAATCTTACACTTACATAACCTACAGTAACTTCGTACAAAATTAAAAATGTAGTAATGATCACAAATAACCTCTCAATATGACTGTCAAGAAACCCAGTACGAGACTTCTATTTTTCAAATATCTTGTCAATGAATTAAATTCAAATGGATGGTTTGATTCCTAAATATTGATGTATAGTAGCAGTACATATACTACCGGTGCATAAATGTTGTAGAATATTAATCTGCACAAAATGTATGGATATCTGGTATGCAAACATTACAGATAAAGCATGGTACCAGGAAGAAACGACCATAATCAGATACAAAGCTCTCCTTTCCCTCTTCAAAGAAGGGCACCCCTGATGGAAAGCTGTTGTAACAACCAGCATTCTGTGGTCCTTTGTCCCCCCATTGAGGCTTTCCTTCTCGGCAAGCAGCCATCTTTAAGTCCTCCATCCTGTAAGTAAAACCATCTTGAGAATACTAAAACACATGACTCTGTTTCATCGGATGGAAAAGGTTTATGCCTACATGTACTTATCATAACACTGGAATTCACCAATGCCAGGGAATTTCCATCTGCCATCACCAAAAGGATGAGCAGGATACCTGCACTAAGAAAATCATGCAAAGACTTTATATCATGTTTCAACAAAATCTCCACAGTTAGGAAAAAGAAAGAAAGAAAGAATGACATAAGAACCATAAAGTACCTAAGTTCTCCTGAAGGACCAAGACCAATGCTTACTTCTTCAATTACACTTCCAATAAAGGGTTCAAATTTATTAACAAAACTAAGCAGGAAATCTTCATAACACTGGAGGGCAGTCCGTCCGGATAACAGAGGAACGTGATCCACCCCTAGTGTGAGATAATCATTGTTGGAGAACCCATGTTGATCTCTATAGTATATATCTTTATTTACATCACCAATCTGAGAGCAAAAGGAAAAGGTATTGATTAGCAGTACCATAATGTAAATTACAATTAAGGTACTCTTAGTATATTTCTCATCTCAAAACCTTTTAGCTGGAGCAGCTCAAGATATAATGGAAGGCATAAAGCAGTCTTTATATACAGGACAACAAAAGTAAATCACCTAGCAAATGGGATTGGTGATTGAGAAGAAAAATATAATGTTTTTCCATCCAAACTAACTAAATCACTTAATGGATAGGATGGCAATAATCCTAGAAGTCTAACAGGTTGCACCAAAATAAAACCTTAGTAAGTCGACCATGCAATTATAGCAAAGTGGAAACTACATAGCAGATAACAGGTAAATGGCAGACCTCCAAAATCCACAGTGGAAGACTCACACCCCCTTTTCCATTAGACGAGTGAATATTTGAGTGAAAAGACATAGCAACATGCAACTTCAGTCCTGAATCAGATACCAATTTAAAAAGATCTTCATACAGAGACCAATTGTAGTCAAAAGGTGAAAAACGCTCCACTATTCCCCACCAGACTTCAACTCCTATTCCATGAACACCTGCTAACTTGAGTGCTCTTAGAGATACAGTTAAAGCCTTGAGTCTGAAACAACAAAGACCAAAATTAAAACCATTTTTTTTTTGAAAATGAAAGAAGGCATCAAGAGTGAATACCATAAAATATACCAAAACCTTACTTTCTAATTTGACAACAAAGACAAAGACCTTTAATTTGACAACTCCGAGACAGACATTGAGTATACCTCTCTTTTAGGAAAACTGAACCATAAAATATATTGATAATCAAGCAGGTGTAATACCAAAACCTTACTTTCTAATTCTTGGACACCCAGAGGCATCAAGAGTGAATATATCCATAGGCATCATTACAAAAATAGGCACCCTCTTATCTTTTGACGATTCCAATATCGTGGATCTCGATTTCTCTCGATCATCCATGCTGCGAGAAACCAGTACCACATCAAGCATGCATATAATCAGCTAAAGGAAAAAAGGCAGCCATAAAATTTTAAATATTTAAGTTTGTGAAGTAATATTCCATCACTGCAATCCATACAACCTAAGCAGGAACTTCCATGAACAGAAACAATCCCCTTCCCGTGAAAATTAAAAGGAATAAGAAGAAGTATCATAGAACTCGGAATCATTTAAGCCACAACAAAGGCACACGCTTACTTCACTATTATTGATTCAAATTTGATAATACAGCATTACAATCTACAATTTATAAGTGTTTTCTTCTTCTTTTTGTTTTCAAAGCTGTGGCGTTAACATTTTCTCTCATGATTTAAATAAATTAAAAAAAGAAACTCAATATAATATTTCAGCTCTAACAAAACTCATTTCGATTTTTATCAATTCAACAAATTTCCTCGTTCTCTTATTTTATTGCCAACGAAACGTTAACTCTAATGTACAGCTCTAAGATACGAAGAACTAAATTTTCTAGGGAAAAAAATGCTTCCAATCATCACTTAGATTATTAAAACTAATAACATTAGGCATCAAGCACTGATATCGAAACTTTCACTTCTGTAAATTTTCTCAGCAATCAAACAGGAAAGACATAAATGATAAGAATCAAATGAATATACCAGGAACTGACCTCAAGATGCGACGTTTACCGGCAATGGATCGCCATTTACTGCGGAAGAAGCCGCCAGTGAACATGCGGATCATCGGAACGTTCCAGAGAAGAAACTTTCGCTTTTTGGTTAAGTCGCGATCAAAGCTGGCTTTTGCGTTCAAAGTGTAGTAGTAGCCTCCACACTTGCACGCCATCTTTTCTTTCTTTTCCTTCTTCTCATCAATTTCTCTGGTTTTGTTGGGGAAGATCAAATAAAAATAATAATTGTGAAAGGGGTTTTTTCTATTTTATTTCTATTTTATTTTGAGGGGAAAATTAACATAAGGATAAACTACATAAATAGTCTCCAAACTTTTAGGGTTATTGCATTTCGGTCACAAACTTTTAAAACTTGTAATACAGACACTGAACTTTTAGTTCATTTACGGTAAAGACTCTGATGTTACCTTCCGTTGCTTTCATCTGACGTAGCATGTTACTGTTATTTTCAGCTTAATAAAATTCCTTTTAACTCATTTTAGCATCCTAAAAAATTATCCTAAAGCAAAATTAATTGAAAACCCCTAAAAATCAAAATTTTCTCTCTTATTCTCTTTATTTGATCAACAATTGCCGGCAATAAGTTGTAAAACTCATGCCTTAGCTTTCTGTAGCTAGCATCAAGATTGATAGTCACCTTTGTTAGTATTGCATTTGCAGCAAATGGTGTTAACCAATAGCACTAAAAGGGCTAAGAAGACTCTACCATCATTGCTTGACTTGATAAGAACCAATCGAGATAATTGACGGCCAGATACGATATAAAAGAATCGAATTTGTAGGCAAACTGAAACAACAAAAAAAACTGGAGACCATAAATGAAACAAGCACACAAATTAGACTTTTTTATATTTATCTGTGAGATTGAACAAGTAGTTTATCGTTTGAAATATGTATCACCATCCGTAACTTTGAGAGTATTTATATAATTTTGTGTGGGCATGTGATCAGATTCAACTAGGAAGTGGGAAAGGATGGCAGTAGTGGGAGAAGCTAGGAGTGTAAACGAGCCGAGTCGAGTATTGTTGAACTCGACTCGAACTCGAAAACTTTCAAAGTCAGCTCGACTCGACTCGAAAACTCGCGAACTTAAAATTATCAAGTTCGACTCGAACTCGAAATATAATATTGAAACTCGACTCGAACTCGAAAAGGCCTGAACTCAAAAAAAATTAAGAGCTCGATTAAAGCTCGATTGAAACTCGATTCTGAGCTCGATTGAAACTCGATTCAAACTCAATTTTGAGCTCGTTTCAAGCTCGAATTGCCCCTAGCATAAATATGTTTTAAACTAGTGTATCCCTCTCCTTTTATAATAGACTCAAGGATTCTAGAGTTATTCACCAACCGATGTGTGCAACTCCGCTGTCAATGGTTATTTCCAAAGAAAAAGTCAAGCTCAAGATAGATGTGATTTTGCAGGCACTGTTGCTGTTAGCCCCAATCCTCCTCCAAGTAAGTCTCTCAAAGCACTTTCTTTCTTCTATTTTTGGGGTTTCCCTAACATTTTCATGTGTAATTTGCAGATGTTGCTTCAACTTGCAGCTTTCCCTCAAGGTATGCTTTCATGGAAGTTTTTCCCTCATGAACTATTCTCTCTGGTGTTTTCATACTTTCAATCTTTCTTTTGGGAAAAGCATCTTTGTTTATGAAAATGAGCTGCCATGATGTTGAAATTTCTAAAGTTATTTGTCTTTTTTGACATTACTTTTTGGTTTTGCAGTAGCACAGGGGCAAACACAGGCACCACACCAACCGGGACAACCAACACCGGGTCAACCACCACTGGCTCAACCACAGGATTCCAACCACCGTGTTTGGTGGTGCGGGGATAACACTGGGTCCTACGGGGACCACAGGCATCAATGATCCAGGCAGTGCTGTGGGTCTATTCACTAACAACTTGTTTTGCACTTTTGTTGCTACGATAACCCTCTGGATTTTAGGGTCATCTTGGCTTTGAATTGAAGAAAAAAGGAGGGGTTAAAAAGGGATTTTTGATGGGATTCTGGTGTAATATTAACCATTGGTGTGTGCTTAATGATGGGAACATCTATTAGTGACAATGACAAATCCCCCACCACCGCCATCTTCTTCATCTTCATCTTCTGTATATCTAGAGAGATTACACTTTATATTTAATGGAAATTTGTTTAATAAATTATATAAATGCACTTTGTTTATTTCAAGCTTTAACAAGTAAATGTACGTTGCATGGCTTTAAATTATACATAACACCAAAAGTAAATGATCGTTTAATTAACCTAAATTGTGTAATTAATGGTTATATTAATTAGCCAATTAAATATAATGATTACAAATTTTTTAACACCCCTATATATATATCCCAACATCCAAACACTTCATCGTTCAATCAATTTCATTTAAAATTTCAAAAAAATTGGTAAAATTAGTAATTTTGTATTTAATTTATTATTAATATAATTAATATATCATATTTTATTCGTTATGATCACTTGATTGTTAAGTATCTAATGCCATTATTAAAATGTTGTGCTTTAAGCCTTTTTGTTTTTTAAATTTTAATATTCTTCTTTCTATAATCGATATTATTTTTTAATATTGTTCAAACTCTAAATCATAAACCCTAAATTTTAAATCATAAACCCTAAACTCTAGACCCTAAACTTTAAACTCTAAACCTTAAACCCTATCACATAATTATAAGGAATGAGATGGTTTAGTGAAAGGAAAGAGAGTAACTTGTTTTTCTTTTGCTTTATGAAGAACAAAAATCTAATAAGAAGCTTCAGTCTTTTTGATTTTTGTTCCTCTCCTCTTCACAGTCTTCTCTTTATTTACTACTTTGATTTTCCAACTCTACAATTATTACTTTTTTTTTAAAGTAGAATATAGTAATGCATATATATCTGTTTTGTTTTGTTTTGTTTTATATGGTACAAGTTAGTAGTAAGGATTAGGGATGATCATTTTCTCTCAAATATGATTTGATGCCATTAATTTTGTTAATTAAGATATTAATGTAAGTTTAAATGAGTTTTTTCTTTCTTAATTCGTTATAAAATCGATTACACTCTATTTTGATATATTTTTTAAATTATTAATATTTAAATTGAATCATATTTTTATTATATTATATTATATTATATTTATTGTCAAATAAAAAATTAGTTATGAGGTAAGTACAATATAATATCTTGATATTAAATACTCAAACCCTTGATATTTATGATATTTGAACCCGAAACCTCAAAATATAACAACAATTTAAAAAATTAGTTATTAAAAACATTATCATTAGAAATATACTAAATATTTATAATTAGATAAATAATTTTTTTATTAATTTGTGCAGTAAAAAGAAAAAAATCAACCAAACACGTGTAATCTAACATGTGCTTAATTAAATGAGCTTTTATTTTTCTTTTAGTAATATACAATGTAACAATTGGACTTGGGCCGGTTAATTAAAGAAATTAAAATTCGAGGGTAGTTGTACTATATAATTTTTAATATATTTTTAAAATTTTATAATCATCAATAATTTATTTTTATTATATTTTTAATAATGTAATTTTAAAAAATCTAAAAATATAATATAATATTTTTTCAAGCTGCTCACGAGCTTTTCGAGTCGAATATCGAGTAGCTCGTTTCAGCTCGTTAAGAACTCGAGTCAAGCTCGAGCTCGAGTCGAGTCCATTCGATTCGAGTATTTATCGAGCCTTGATCGAGTCGATCTCGAGTAGCTCGCGATCTGTCTCGTCTCATTTACAGCCCTAGGGAAAACACAAGTGAGTAAAGTGGGTTAATGGGTTTTAAGCTTAAAACCCTAAATTTGTTTTTTAATGGTTTTCAATCAATTTTGAGTGAGGGAATTTTTTTAGGAGGTTGAAATGGACCCTAAAAATTTGGGAGACAATTTATGTAGTTTACCCTTAAAATAAAAAGAGTCAGTATTATACTTTCATTCGTTTTTAGGGGAAAAATCATCATCCTTTTATTTCAGGCCTAATTCCATTTTTGGCATTTAAACATTTCAAAAAAGTTGTTTTAGTCCTTAATTTTCTTTCAATTAAATCAATTGGAAGAAAAATTTGAAAACTTGTTAAAACTGTTTTATTATTTTGTGTGAAAATTAGAAAAAGTTAAAAATATTTAAAATGTAATATATATTTAAATTATTAAAAATTGTTAAATTATAATAACTATAAAAAATGAAGAAATATGAAAACTTGTAAAAAAAATTATATAATTATTAAAAATCTGTTACTTTTTAATCAATTGATTTAATATGATTAAAGATAGAAATTCAAGGGCCAGAAAAAACTTTAAGCTCTGTTCAAAAAATCTGAGGGCCAAAAATATTATTATACCTTTATTTTATATATTATTATTATATACGTAGTTATGTACAATGTTTTATGGTAAGTTTTGCAGTCATGCCCTTGAAGTTCAACAAAATGTTGGAATTTACATGATTTACTTTCTCTAATTTCATTTTGCCACAAAGTACACAAAAGGTCCCTGACTATAGGATATTAGTTTACTAATTCTCTTGACTACTAAAAGTTACAAAATGGTTATTCAACTATAGAGTGTTGCTTTGTCAAGTCTCTCCACTATTACTGGTCACCCAACTATTTATTATGTTCCAAACTCATCATTTTCCTTTAAAAAATTTGGTGGTATTCTGAGTGAACGTTAACTTGTTGACTGTGATATGATGAAATTTGATCCTAAAATCTCAAATGACTATCATATCTCAGTCATCATGTTAACGTCTAACTTAGACAACGACTAATTTTTTAACGAAAAAGGACGAGTTTGGAACATAATGAATAGTAGGGTGACCATTTTATGTTAGAGGACCATTTTATTGCTTTTAATAGTCAATGGACTTAATAAAATAATACCCTATAATCAGAGGACCATTTGTGTACTTTACCCAATAAAATTCTTATTTGGTTTTAAATTTTTTAAAATCAAATCAAGAGATACAATTGTCCAACTTATTCTATTCACAATAGTATGATTCAAATTTTAAATGTTAAGGGATTTAACGTCTAGACCAATCCAATCTGTAGTTGGTAACATCTTTAATATTCAAGCCATTTCCAGTTTGTATCATTTAAAATTTGGGTAAATTACTTGTTTAGTACATAAAATATCAGTTTTAGTTTATTTTAGTACCTAAACTTTTAATTTTTCAAAATCATATCCAAAGTTTAGTTTATGTTTCATTTTAGTACCTCGTCGTTAAAAACTTTAGTTTTTATTTTATTTTAATATCACGTTCAGAATTTAACATTAATTTTGAAAAGATTGAAAGTTAGGTACTAAAACGGACCAAAACTGATAGTTTTTAATAGCGTGTACTAAAATGAAATAAAAATTAAAAGTTAGATATGATTTTAAAAAATTAAAAGTTTAAGTACTAAAACTGATAATTTATGTACTAAATGCGTAGTTGACCCTTAAAATTTTATGTGCTCAATTCATTATCAGTTTGGATAACTTCGAGTTTTTATCAATTAGATTCAAATAAGTTCAAATTTGAATAATTTCGGATTTCGATTACACTAAATCTGAGTGGTTTCAAATTATTTATTTAGATAATTTCATATTCGTATTGAATTGATTTGGATGATTGAATATTAAAATGAAATGAAATTATTTTGCTTTTAATTTAGATTAATATGATTGAATGAATGTATATAGGGGTCATTACCGCCATTTTTAATTTTCTTTTACATTAATTGGAACTAATAATTACAAGTTTTACATTCTAATCCCATATATTTGCTTAATTACAATTTTGGCTTCCAAAATTTCGCTTTTAGATCTTAACGTTAAAATTGTGAATTAATCACGTAATTTTTTACTCAAATCTAAGATTCAATAAATTTCTTCAAATTCTTTTATAAAAAGTTTATGGGTAAATTCTCAATATGACCCTCGAACAGTACACAAAATTCCGACGTGGAAATAGTTATCTGAAATGGATTAGAATAAAAATATTTATTAAAAATAACAATATTTAGGTCCACGACCACATTATTATTTAACTTTAGATCCATATAATTAAATTTAGATCCATTTTTTAATTTTCTTCGATTTCATTATTAAGACTTACATCAGTGGATCGATCGATTATAATTTTAATGCGTTGGTGGGTGGTGAAAAGAATGACCCTTAATCCACCTTTATAATCTTGTCTTTTACGTCGCTATGAAAACGGAGTAAATGTGAAGCTAGCATATAGCTTTTCTGATTTTATATGGTTAGGGTTTAAGAAAAATGAATTCGGGTTAGATCATGTTGAGATTTGTAAAAGATAAGGGATTGAGTGAAAATTTTCTGACCCAACAGTATATATTTTTTCTATACATTTAGAGATAATTACTGTAATGTATTTTTATATGTATGTTTTTCAATTAGATATTTATTTTATCGAATAAAAATTAAATCTTTTTATATTTACATCAGATCAAATTTAAATGAAAAAAATATACTCACCGAATCAAATCGAGTTGACCAAAAACTCATCCATTGTCATCTCCGGGTGCCACGAGAGGCTTGTAAAAAGTAGAAGGAAGCCCCTCTTCCTTTGAAGACGGGTAGTAGAATATTTTCTTGTCCTTTAATCATTAAATTTTTTTATAAAATTATTATTAATTTTTATTAAACTATTATAAAATAACTATTAAATTTATTGAACTCTTACTCATATCATAAATCACAATAATCATTTTTAGTATAAACAACGCTTAACTAATAACGTCGAGATTCAAATCCCGAATCTTACAATCATACTAACTAACATGTGGGATGAAGGAGATTCATGGTGATTGAATCCATATGGAGATCATGAATCCTTAAACCATGACTAGTTGTCGTTGAGCTTCGATCCTCAGTTCTTCCTTCATTTTTCTGATGAATTCATCGAACCTTTTGTTCAGCTCATCATCTGTGCTCGACTCCTTCGAATCTTCGTCTTCAACAAAAATACCATTTTCCATCAAAATATCCAAACCCCATTTTTCACCATCTTTTTCTTGGTCCTCCTCATGTGTTTCTTCCATTGAAGTACCGTTCCTTAATGCTTCGTCTTTCTGCAGCAACGGTGCCTTGTTCTCCAAGGCAATGGACTGATTGAATCGGGGAACATCTTCAAAGCTCGTGCAACACTGATCGCCGTCGTCATTGTTGTCATGATCAAGAATACGGAAATTATCGTGCTCCGATGAACCGATGAATCCCGAGAATTTCGCAAGGAAAACGAGCAGGCCATTGCAGAGAAGGAACATGCAGTTCTTATCTATGTTGTGGCTGAACAGCTGGAAAGGGAGTGTATCATGTAGGTTTAACGTAAAACAATAATGGAGCAATGACAGCCAATATGAACGAGAAAACAAGAGGGAAAAAACTGAAACTGAGAGGACCAATTGAGTAAATTTCCCATGAAACAAAGATTGCTGCTTCTGGTTTTCTCTTTGTTCCATGTTTTGGAACTCTCTTTTGGGTGTTCGTGTTTGAAGTTTCATATAAGATATGAAAGGGAAACTATGAATCTTACCCCTTTTATAGAGGGACCAAATCAACGTGATTTAAAGATAATTGGTATAACACTCCCTTCTCTATAACTTTTTTTTATAATTAGATCTCTATTTTACTTAATAAAAATAAGAAAAATATAATATTTGTTTCGAGTCGGGTTAGATATAAGTTTTTATCCTAAATTTCAAATTGAGTTCCGGGTCAAATGAAACCTCTCTCAATTTGGGTAGATTAAAGTAAATGGAGTATGTTTCTCAGGTCAGGTTGGATTGACCGAAAACTCGATTCGACTCGTTGCCACTTAAATCTTTAAAGTAAATATTAGAAATTCAAATCATGATATTATGGTTATGGTTAAAAATGGATTGGGGGATCATTTATATAACAATTTAATTTAATATAAATTAATTGATGAATAAGATACTAATGATGTTAACTTACCAGCAAAGATGAGCTTTCAAGAATATTATCTGATGTGTATGCAATTCAATCATGCCACTTTGCATTTGGGGCTTGACATTTCTTCACTTGCTTGATAATTTAAAACTTTGTTGTTGTCATCTATTTTAGGTATTGTTTTACCAAGTTGAGATTGATAGTTTTGATACATAATTGAGATTGAATAATTAATGTTGTAATATTTTTAAGGGTAAAGTACACAAACGATCCCTAGACTATAGGAAGTTATTTTATTGAATCCCTCAATTATTAAAGTTATAAAATAGTCACTAAACTATTCATATATTCCAAACTTATATTTTTTCCGTTAAAAAATTGTCGACTGACTGGATTGAACGTTAACATTGTTGATTGTGATATGATAAAAATATGATCGCATAAACCGTTTTAGCTATATTTTGTTGATATAATCTCCATTATATTATGCAATCAAGTTAGTGCTTGAAAGCAACAACGATATCAATATTACTCATTAAAATATTATTTTATCATATGCTAGTCAACATGTTAACAATAAGCTCAAACGGTAGTCAATTTTTTAACGAAAAATGATGAGTTTGAAACATATGAATAGTCGAGTAATTATTTTATAACTTTTAATAGTCATTGGCTCAATAAAACAAACACCTTATAATCGAGAGATTATTTTACAACTTTTAATAGTTAAGGGACTCAACAAAACAATATTATGTAATCAAAGATCTTTTTTATACTTTACCCAAATAATAAACGAGTTTACTTATTTAACTAACTTATCACTACTTGGACAAACAAATTCAAAAAATTTCTAAGCTACATCCGACCAATAACACTCCCAAGTTCCATCCATCGGTTCAATTTTCATGCTTGCTTTATTGGCACGCTTTATTGTTATAGTGATATAAGCTTTCTTAATATTTTTCTATCTCATTAAATCTGTTCATTGTTAACATTTTTTGTTATTCTTTTAAAAATTTTGGTTCATTATTATTTAAATTTATTTTATTAATAAAATATATAAAATCATATATTTTAAAAATTTTAAATCAAATAATTTTAAAATATATATTTTATAAAATTTGATTATTTAAAATAGTCACGATTAAAGTCTAAAAAATTGACCTTTAAAAATTAATAAGAACACGTTTAGTAGGACGGATAGAGTATATTTTATGATTTTGGTGAGTGTAAGTTTATTTTTTTAACTTAATAAAATCACATTTAAAGGATAAAAAGTTAAAATTTCAATATTTAAATGTAAGAATTTGAAAAATATAATATAGTTTGTTAAAAGTTTGATTAATTATTTAATAAAATAATATTTTGTAAACTTTTTTTTAAATAGTAAAAAAAGTTCTTTAATATAATTCTAAATATATATGATCATTATATTGTCTAGTTCCACCACAACCAATTCATCATTACTTGAAACCACTAATTTGTGTAGTGGTAGTTAAGTAGTTATTATCCTCATTAAAACGTCACGGGTTATATTAAAAATAAGTACATAAAGTATATCAGTTTTTCATTTAAGTACCTAAAGTACATCATTTTTTCATCTAAGTACCTAAAGTATTTTTTAATCAACATAAGTATCTAAATTTATATTTTTGGTTAAAATATATACCTAAAGTATTATTTGGTTAAATAGATACCTAAAATATTTTTTTCCATATAAGTACTTAAAGTATTCTTTAATTAGTAACATATGTCAACTTTTTTAGAATTTAGATAAAAAAATTGAATATTTAAGTAAATTTTTTGAACAAAAAATACTTTAGATACTCAAATGAAAAATTTAATATACTTTAAATACTTATTTGTGATATAAGTCAAACTTCACTAAAGCATCAACTTTATGCAGAGCTAATGATGGTTTGAGAGGGTTAATGGAAGCGTTCGTTTCTTGAAAATTTTAATTTTTTTATATAATTTAAATATTTTTATATCTTAAAATTTTATAAATTTATTATCTCTAAAATTTTATAAGTTAGTTTCTTCTAATACAAAATCTTATGTTAGTCTATGTGTGGATGTGAATGATACCCTTACTCACTTTCAGGTTGACCACGAGCCATCCACACTAGGCCATATGCAACTCCATTACTTTCTCGTTCGATCCGTGTAATCCGCATTAGTCTCTTCAATTTTATTTGAGGTTTTTATTTTATGATTCGATTTAGATATATTATTTCTTAATTCATTCGATTTTGACTTTTCCTATGAAACTTATTTATTTCGAATCAAATCGAATTTCAAAATAAAAAATAATGATCCAAATCAAATGCACATTGCATTTGTTATAAGACAAATTCAAATAAATAAGCTCCTAAAACTAATCATAGTATTTGTATGAATTTTAATTTTAATTTATTTTTTTCATTCCGTTTAAGTTTGAAGTTTACTCCTTTTTAATGGTAAGTTTGAAATTTTGTGAACAGTTAAAAATCTCAAAATCAAACTTAACCAAATTGAATCGAAAATTTTGATTTTCATATCATTCGATTTTGATTTTGATTTCATTTTTTAAAAATGCGTAATATGATTTAATTAATCTTTTATAAAAAAAAATTAAATTTAATCAAATCGAATTGAATACATCCCTACTATTTATAGCTTAACATCCACCCATGATACAAGAAATGTAACACCCTTAACATGTATATGTACTCAAATACAAATTAAAGATGTCGCACTGACCTTTTTATAGCATTTCCTACTCAAAAGCTTGTAAAATTTTATTTTTTTTAAAAACATTAAGTTTACTTTAATCACTAAAACATTTAATTGATTAAAAATCGGAAAGAAATATTACCTCTACTAAAAAAATTAAAACATGATTTTAGGCAGTAATATAACCATTCGATGATGTTTCATATAACGTTTAAAATTGTCTAAATCTGTATACTATAAAATCCTTATTGATAACATTTTAAACATAACTTAGCAGACTACTATTCATGCATCTACTCTTTATTATACTTAGTAGTGTCCATTTTTAGTCTGTATATTTAATAGTTTATGGTCCGATTTATACTATCATATCAGAGCAACATAATACTCATACAATATACTTGTCAACTAGAAAAGTCAAATCATTAGAAAATAACATACTGATATTGGAGAGCTGATATAATCTTCAAAAGTGATGTCAAACCACACTCCTTACTCCGATCCATTTACTTTACCTACGTGTGAAACAATCACACGTTAAGTTTCCACTTAGTGAGACATATAAACTAAGGTAAGACATTTTAAATTATGAAAAGATCATAAATAACTAGAGTGCTACTACCATCGTATAAAAATATATAAAAATGATAATTCAAACCTTTTTCCTTTTAATGAAATTAAACCTGAAAAATCATTCCTTAGCACATGTATAAGCATATAGTACCAAATCCGAATACTCAGTAAACAATAGTTTTCTTTCGACTCATATTACATATATAAACACTTTAGTACATAAAATATATATCATGCCAAAAATCATCATCTCATGATTTTATAAAAATCATGGTAATCAATATCAATCACAATAATCATTTCATATTCTTTTCCATTCAATCACATTTCAGAACTTTCATATTTCATTTTCATAGTCCAATGTATATTTTAAGAGAATGCAAGGTACGTGAGTCAGACGAGTGTGCACAATAAAAACTCCAAGTGCTATCATCAATAAACAAAAATATGCACTCCAAGTGCTTCGGATAATTTGCACCAACAATGTCATTCTTTAATGTACACGAATGTACCAGATTAGATAACATATATCACTCCACCTCATGGCATGCCAATTGTATCAACAACTCTCTATGCACATATAATGGGATTTTGTGTCATATTCATATCTTATTCATTTATCCAATGTATATATATATCAACATGTTCAATTATTATTTATCAAAAAAAATTAAATTGGGCAGTTCATACCTGAAATCATTCATATTCATTTATCAAATTTCGTATAAAATACTTCAAATACTTTATACCACATAATCCTTTTGAAATCATTTCTAGAAATTATTCAAACATTGTTTAAATAAAATATCACATAAATGTATTGAATAATTTATACTCAAATTATTTGACACATCATTTTGTAAACAATATAAAAATAATTCATGATATAATTTAAAACTTTTCTTTCAAAACCATTCGAGGTTAGCTCATCGCAAGCCATCCTTATATCATATACGATAACATAAAAACCATAATACACTCACTTGGTAATGCCTCACTAGTGAACCTCCATTTTCAATATAAGCCTTTATTCTCGTACTTTTCATCAGCTTTAAGTTTACTCATCTCACGATCTCAAGTACAATCTGCACGAGTATAATTTATCAACATATAAAATTCAAAGCATAAGTTAGTATCTACACTAACATAATAACATATATTAACATAAAAAATTACTGATTAAGCAATTAATGCATATTCGATATAAAACTCCATTTCGTATTTTCAATACTAACTTTAACACTTTAAAACATAACTTAAA